ATGTCTTCATTGGAGAAGTGTCTGTTCGTATCTTCTGCCCATTTTTTTATATGATTGTCTGTTTTGTGTGTGTTGAGTTTGAGGAGTTCTTTATAGATCCTGGATATCAACCTTTTGTCTGTACTGTCATTTGCAAATATCTTCTCCCATTCCGTGGGTTGCCTCTTTGTTTTGTTGACTGTTTCCTTTTCATTGTTTTCTGTCCGTCCTGTTGTCCTTTTGTTTCTCTTTCCACCCTTCTTGTTTTCTTCCATGTTTCTTTTAATTAACATTTTTGACTCATTTTTCTTTTGTGTATTTCTATATGTATTTTCTTCATGGTTACCATGGGGCTTACATAAAACTTAAGTCTATTTTAAAGCTGATAACAATTTAACTTCAATCACATACAATAACTACACTTTTACTTCTCTACTCCTTCCACTTTGTTATTGATGTCACAATTTACAACTTTGTATATAGTGTATCTTAACATGTTTTTATAATAAACATAATTTTTAAACTTTTATCCTAAATTAAAAGCAATTTGCCCACTTTTTTTTTTTTTCAATCAATGAATATTTATTATCTCATTTTGTTTCTGGGTTGTCAGGAATCCAGAAGTGACTTGCTGGGAGGTTCTGACCAGGGTCTCTCATGCCCATCACTTTTACAGTATTACAGTATTCTGTATTTGTCTACATATTTACCTTTACTAACAAATTTTATACTTTAATATGTTTTCATACTGTTGTTTAAAACCCTTTTGTTTCAACTTGAACTTCCTTTAGCAATTCTACAAGGCAGATCTAGTGGTAGTGAACTCTTTCAGCTTTTGCTTATATGGGAAAGTCTTTATATCACCATGATTTTCAAGAGACAGTTTGCTGAAAATAGTGTTCTTGGTTGGTAATCTTTTGCTTTTAGGACTTTGAATGTATCATCCCACTTTCTCCTGAATTACAAGGTTTCTGCTGAGAAATCCACTAATAGTCTCATGGTCCTTCCCTTGTACACCACAAAATTTCTTTTGCTGTTTTCAAAATTCTTCATGTTTTATTTTATTTTTTTTTAAGGTTTTATTTGTTTGAGAGTAAGAAAGCTACAGAGAGAACACAAGCCAGAGGCAAGTGCTCACCTGGACTCATGTTACACTGGTTCACCTAGGCTATTGAAATAGTTGCAGGATGGGGCGCCTGGGTGGCTCAGTGGTTAAAGCCTCTGCCTTCAGCTCAGGTCATGATCTCAGGGTCCTGGGATCGAGTCCCGCATCGGGCTCTCTGCTCAGCAGGGAGCCTGCCTCCTCCTCCTCTCTCTCTCTGCCTGCCTCTCTGCCTACTCGTGATCTGTCAAAAAAAAAAAAAATAGCTGCAGGATGCCTGGGTGGCTCAGTTGGTTAAGGGTTTGCCTTCAGTTCTGGTCATGATCCCAAGGTCCTGGGATTGAACCCCACATCACACAGGGCTCCCTGCTCAGTGGGAAACATGTTTCTCCCTCTGCCTGCTACTCCCCCTGCTTGTGCTCTTCTCTGTCAAATAAATAAGATCTTTTAAAAAAAAAAGTTTCTAACTCAGTGGCTTTTTTTGACCATGACCCAGCAAATATTTTATATTTCAACCAGGTACACACACACACACACACACACACACACACACACACAGCTGAATATTTTTATGAAATATCACTCTTACTATATGAAATACACTTGATATTTTATATTTATTTTTTAAAATGACTCATAACCTGGTAAATTGATTTCAAGATCTCTAATTGATGATCTGTTATTGAAGAAACTCTTTTCACTGGTGTCACTGTTTGCACTTTCTTCCTCTATAGACAATCCTCTACCAGCAGCTAGAATAATCTTTCAAAATATGTCATGTTACTTCCCTGTTTACAACCCTTTGATTGCTTCCCATCTACTCAGAATAAAATCTCAATCCTGGGCACCTGGGTGGCTCAGTCGGTTAAGCCTCTGCCTTCAGCTCAGGTCATGATCTCAGGGTACTGGGATCGAGTCCCGCATAAGGCTCTCTGCTCAGCAGGGAACCTGCTTCCTCCTCTCTCTCTGCCTGCCTCTCTGCCTACTTGTGATCTCTCTCTGTCAAATAAATAAATAAAATCTTAAAAAAAAAAAATCCCAATCCCTAAGCATGAACTGCAAGGCAGTGACTCTAACACCTACCTATATCTCTAACTTTATCCACTACCATTGCCTAGCACTCACTCCACCCCAGCCACGCTGCCCTCTTGCAGCTGCTCAAGTATACCAAATTACTTAAAGCATCAGGGCCTTTGCACTTGCTAATTCTTCTGGCTAGAACCCTTCCCAGATCATCTTTTAGCTCACTCTCTCACTTCATTCATAGGCCTTTCCTGGTCATTTTTCCTAAAATTAGCTTTCTGCCCCATTATTCTTGATCTTTTTTTTTTTTCATTCTTTATCTTCTTATCCTCCTTTAATTTTTATATCACTTAACATTCCCTGGCATTATATTATGTACTTATATGTTAATTTGTTTACTATTTATGTCCCTTCATAGATACTAGTTTCATGGATGTGGAGATTTTGGTCTCATTTAATTTTCTAGTACCTAGGAGGAAAAAAACTGGCAAAGAGCTGGGACTTGAATGTTGCACAAATGACATTTTTTTTCTCACTGAGACCTTCAAGAGCAGTTTTTTCTTTCACTGCCTCTCCTTGACTTAACTCAATTCTTCCCATTCCTTAGCACTGGAGCCTATTTATCTTGCAACAGAATGAAAGCCTTCTCCTTCTCAGCAAACAGCCCCTAAAAGTTTAATAAATATTTCCTACCTCATCTAAATGTAGAATACTTATTCTCATACCCATAAAATATTCCACATATTTAGATACATATAGATATAATTTTTAAGTAGGCTCTACACCCAGCATGGAGTCCTACATGCTGAACTACAGCAAGTAGAAGGAACTCTGAAGAAGGAACTCTCAACTCTACACAGGGCTTGAACTCATGACCCTGAGGTCAAGACCTGAGCTGAGATCAAGAGTTGGACACTTAACCACTGAGGCACCCAGGCACCCCACTCCACTCATATTCTTATTCCTATTTAAAACTGATAACTAAATCATTTTGTGTGTAGCCACTAAATGGTTTTGTCGGTCTTAAATTATATCTAAAAGGCAGGGGCTTAACAATCCTTACAGTGATGAGTGGTATTTTGCCCAATGCCAGGTTCCCAGAATATTTTTAATGAATATTTTATTCAGTTTTAACAAGCAGATGGTGGGGGATTAATAGTTGAAAGAACACAGGTTTTGAAGTTGCACAGATTTAGGGCTGCTCCCAGCTGTCACTCAATCTCTCTTGGATAACCTTGGGTGAGTCACTGAACCTCTCTGGAGATAAAAGTATGTCAAATTTTTAGCACTACCTCCAACACAGTGAGCTCTCAACAAATTGCACCTACTGTTACTTAATTGGGTGCTTGTGTGTCTTGTAGAATAATACAGAAGATTCACTTGTTCAGAAATGAGTCTAGTGCAGGCTCCCATCCAAATAGTTCCTTGTTGCTAACTAGAAGAATTTCAACGCTCCCTTTTGTGGAGATGGTATCCATGTAAGGAAGCTGCATATCCACTTAACCCACACCTTTATCACTATGGGGAAGTCTAGGCTTCCTGCTTCTTAGGGAAAGCTGAAGATCATGTTCTTGAGAGTTCCTTCTGGTATTAACCTGTCTCTGGTATCCAGTTTTCTTATTTGGGGAGGGGGGATAAAATAGTTTCTTCTGGCTTTCTTCAAGCAACTTTTGTTTCTAACTACATTTTTAATTTTTTTTTTTAAGATTTTATTTACTTGAGAAAGAAAGTGAGAGAGAATGCTCAAGGAGGGCGAAGGGCAGAAGGACAAACAGATTCTCTGCTGAGCAGGGAGCCTGAAGTGGGACCTGATTCCAGGACTTGACCCTGAGACTCTGGGATCATGACCTGAGCTGCAGACACTTAACAGACTGAGCCACCCAGGTGCCCTGATTTTTTTTTTTTTTTAACTTTAATCAAATTCAATATACACCCATGTTCATTCACTCACCGAAAAAGCATTTCTTAAGTGAATGCTTAGTATGGTCCTAGCAGCTATATAAATAGTGGTCAATAAAAGATAAAATAGCTGTCCTTGTTTAATATGTTGTTTATAGAGTATACAAATTAAGAATTTCCCCATAAACATAAGAATTAAGGTTAGAGGAACAGTAAGATAGTAAATTATTTTATATTTAGAATCCTTTATTCTGACTTCTTTTCCTTGAGATTTAATTGACTAGTGCCTAATGCAGTATATTGTATACTGAGGCAGAAAATGAAGCCCAGTGGGACAGAAGTCAATAGACTCAGTAAATTCTTCCATTAATAAATCACTTCATATACTTTCCATTAATAACTTCCAGGTCTTGATCAATTCACTTTATATACTTACACCTCAGTCCTCTGTAAAATAACAAGATTTTACTAAATGATCTCTAAAAGTCCTTTCTGGTTAAAAGAATTCTATATTCTGTAATTCTAACTTCCTTTTTTTTTTTTTTTAAAGATTTTTTATTTATTCATTTGACAGATAGAGATCACAAGCAGGTAGAGAGACAGGCAGAGAGAGAGGAGGAAGCAGGCTCCCCGCTGAGCAGAGAGCCCGATGCGGGGCTCGATCCCAGGACCCTGGGATCATGACCTGAGCCGAAGGCAGAGGCTTTAACCCACTGAGCCACCCAGGCGCCCCTCTAACTTCCTTTTTTTAGTGAAAATAACTCATTATACAAGGTTTCCAGAAATTTTAAAGTTCAGTATTTGCAATTTTGAATATATAAGTCAATTTCACACTATTTCAGAATTCAAAATTATCAGACAAAATGCCTTCTTTGAAAAAGTATCATGTGAAATCAATGTATACAACTTGGAAAAAGTAAACTGAATGCTATATGGTACAATCACAAATGTGTCATATATATAAAACATTGGTTTCTTACATATAAATGATCATTACCTGGAAAGAAATTCTTCTGTGAAATAAAAGTATTCCATCCTGAATCTCTTCAAAATCTCTATTAATTTGACAAATTCTTTATCAAGAGATTCTTCGTGGTTTCTCAAGCTGTTCAGCATTAATATGCAAAGATTTAGTTTCTCCTCCATTATATACTTGACTTCCTGCAAGAAAAGTCACAAAAGAAACTCCGCTCTTCCACTGTTAAATATAAACAAATGACAGGCAAACAAAATGTTATGGTCATCCTGTCTCAATAGTATTCATGGTTATTAAACCCCCAAATTCTAATTGAACAGAAACCAATTCTCAATTGCCCCAAAATTGATTATTCTTTGACTGATTATCTCATTTTAACAAGTACATATTGGGTACTTGTTATGTGCCTAAAACTGACTTTTTTTATTTTTTAATATAAGTGGTCCCTGACCATTTATTTCATCAATCATCACAATTGGTTTAGAATAGGATGAGACAAGGAGGTGCAATAAAAATCATTTATTTGTTTATTAGCATGTTCAAAAGCAACTTTGAAAAAAGGGCTTGTTAAAGGGCTTGTTATTAATATTCCAGAGTTCTCAGAGTTTGCTTCTTGCTTTAGCTTAACGTAGGAAGCTGATGGATGTTTGAGGAAGTCAAGAAGTAGAGATAAGTAATGGAAAAATAAAAGAAATTTCTTCATCTATGCTTCCTTTATAACAAAAAAAATAACTAAGTTCTCATGTTCTGCCAATTTAGGGGATATCGTCAGAATTTTCAGAATAACATTCCTTTGCACAATAATCATTTTATCAAATTTAGAGAATTTTAGTAGGTAAAGGAAAAAATCCAAGCTTAGACTAACAATTTTCACAGGATTCAAATAAAATACTTTATTAAATCCTTTTTATTGTCTCTTTAACACATCACATGTCCTTACTCTCACTTTCTTCCTGACATTCACATACACTTTTACCCTCATATACAGTTGCTCTCACCCTCAAGTTCACACACTTATTATCACCCTCGCCCACACTTATCCTAACCCTCAGTCACACGCACTTACCTTTACCCTCCCCCCTCATTCTTATTCTAACCCACATGCACACACCCACACGCATCCCCAGACATACCTTCCATAGACATCCACAGACTGAGATAGAAGACTACAATAAAGTCTTAGAAATGGTACTGCATATAATAAGTATTACCTGTGTTAAGAAAGCAGAATAAAACCAAGGAAAATCACAAAATATGAAACACTTACAGTAAGCTTGTTCTCCCACTTTTCTTTCACAGTAATTTCTGAATCAGTTTCCCACTGTAGAGTGCTACCCATGATGGTTTCAACTTCGGAAACTTCTTCACGCTGAAAAAATTCCACATGTTCAACTAGGAATTCAGGTGAAAGGCATAGGCCATATATAAGAAGTAATTTAGACCTAAGGTCTATTATATAGACAATGAAGACAATTCCTTCTCATTTAATGCCACCCCATGACTTTCCTTTATCCCAGGATGTCGCTATGTATAAATGTCCACTCTCATGGCTCCATATATGCTGAATACATACAGAGAATCGTTTTTCAAAACAAAATGTACCCACTTTTATTCCCCTCTCAAATAGTAGGAAACATGCATTTTTGTGGACTTTGCTTCACCCATTAAACTAAATACTACCTTCTGTATGTTAGGCGCTGTGAAAGGGACTGGAAATACCAACATGAGTACGTTCACTGCATTCTCTGACCATCTTGTTTCCAGTCAAAAATCAAAATGGAGTAAGAGGTACTAGCTACTAGCCAGAAAGAAACGTTTACTAGATACCACGTCTTCTCTGATCCTACAGATTAGCCTATAGGAAAAATAAGCCCAAACAATTCATATCTAATGATCAGCCTGACTGAGGTTGAACTGAGAGAGCCAGAACTAGAAGTCAAGCTCAAGGTTTTAGGAAAATCTTCTCTTTTCATAGGAGTGACTTGGGTCTCAACAACAGACCATAGATCAGTTATCTGCAGATATTCCTAGCAGTGACTCGCCACTGTACATAGGTTATACAATTCCGGCTTTTGAAGCATAGCTGTCAATTCTACTACCTTTTGTTCAAGTTTTCTCAGTAACAGCATTTCTTGGTCCATCATCATATCCAGAGACGACAAACTGATTAAACTGCACTGCCGGGGCGCCTGGGTGGCTCAGTGGGTTAGGCCTCTGCCTTCGGCTCAGGTCATGGTCTCAGGGTCCTGGGATCGAGCCCTGCATTGGGCTCTCTGCTCCGCAGGGAGCCTGCTCCCCACCTCCTCTCTGCCTGCCTCTCTGCCTACTTGTCATCTCTGTCAAACAAATACATAAAATCTTTTAAAAAAAATAAAAAAATAAACTTCACTGCCACTCAGTTTCATTGTTCTGAAACAATTATTAAAATGTCCACAACTCTGTCATTCAAATAAAGAACAGTATTTTTATTTTATGAAAATGACGCTCATGAGTTAATCTAACTGTCCCCATCGAAGAGTTCTAAGAAGACTTACAAAGTCTTCCTACATTACCAAACAATGGTTTACATTTTCTCTCTAGGATGGCTGCCACTTAACATTCATTCCTTTTTTTTTTTTTTTTAAGATTTTATTTGTTTATTTGACAGACAGAGATCACAAGTAGGCAAAGAGGCAGGCAGAGAGAGAGATGGGGAAGCAGACTCCACGCTGAACAGAGAGCCCAATGTGGGGCTTGATCCCAGGAGCCTGGGATCATGACCTGAGCTGAAGGCAGAGGCTTTAACCCACTGAGCCACCCAGGCGTCCCACATTTATTCATTCTTAAGGAAAAGCATTTATCCAATAGGTAACATTTACATGTGGGTAGTATAAACTGCTATGGTTTTAATTTTATGAAAATAGGGGAAGGTAAAGAAATTCACAGAAAAAACAACTGTTGGCAAGGTGTTCAATAAATCCCACTGATAACAGATGGCTTCTTTGGTCTCTCCCTTCCTTTCATAAAAAACACTCTCAGATGATGTTTACCAAAGGCGATTTCTTATAGTTCTCTCAAAGCATCCATCTCCTGTCATACTTTAGATATATGACAACAGCACATTTAACTTCCTTTTTGTTGTCTATTGGAAAACATTTATAGACCTCTTATTTCTAGACTCCAATTAGAAGGCAAACTTCCTAATCCATTAATGGGATAAACCTCAGAGCCAGAACTTCGCCAGCTGCTTAACCCCTGTTTAGAGGTTTAGAACTTCACAGGCTGGCATCTTGACATCATTATTATCGCAGAGGACTGCTGTGGCAGATTTGCCATCATTGCACTGAGTCTGGCAGTTTGGCTTGGTTTCAAAAACATAGTAAGATGATGAGTATTTGAAACAGAATGTCAGGAAAGCATAGCCCTCAGCAGAATGTCCAAGGCTGCCTGAGACAGCTTTAGATCAAGGCAGCATATGTTGCCCCAGCATCCTTGGCAAGAGAAATTCAAACAGCATTTGCCCCAAAGACATTTTTCCTCTCCTTTCAAGGTCATATCACAGCTGTCAAGAGGAGGACATTCTGACATATCGATCGTCCACAGACATGGAGAGCCCATCAAAATGGTGAAAAGAAAGCAATTTGCTAATAAAGCATTTCCTAACATAACAAGCACAAACTGGAAAGCACAAAGGCATGAAAATAAAGTATTGGGGGGGCTCCCCAACATTTCATTATCACAAAGCCTTTTGATTATTTCCTCCCATGCTGTAAAAAACTGGTTCTGCCTAACAAAGACTGAATTAATAATTCACTTGTATTTTAAAATTAACCCAAAACATGTAATTCTATTTTCTGTTTAGAATGCAGTAATCAATGCCATTACATTGGGCTGCTACAATTACATTTTGGAGCAGAGAGATTTAATGTTATTTCTAAGCATCTTTATTTTTGGCAGATAAATTTGCTTTGGAGGTTTAGGAAAATGCTGAAAAATGGTTCATGGGGCTCCATTGTAACCTTTTGGACCCCAGGCTGGGGATCAGCACAGGTACTTTCTCTTAAAATCAAGAATATAAAGATTTCTAAAGTCCAGATTCACTGAACACATGATCTTCTTCAACCTTAGTCTTGATCCTCATTATGGTTTTCAGCCATAACTTGAAAAAGATAAAGGTCTTCCCCCTCCCCCCCACCCCAGGCTAAGAGACCTTGGACTTGGATTCTAGAAATAATCAACAGATTCCTCAAAATGCCACAGGCATTCGTCAACAAGCTTGGGCCTTCACCTAACAGAGAGCTATTACATGTGGCCTCATTGTTTCAAGCTTTCCATTTGATGATAATTACCTACCTCTGCAGACTGAGCAAGAATGAGTTCACAATGTAAAGATTTTTCTTCTTCAGAGATGATTCTATTACACTCTCCACTAATATTCAACTGGATCCCATTTCTTGAAAAAACAAAAGCAATAGTCTAGTCTGGTTAGATGGGACTATAAGTCAGCAAAATGGGGTTAATCACTAAACACAGTAGGCCCTCACGTGTGCCAAGGTTTGTAGAAGATACTCAGCAAGAGAGAGAAATGACAGATCGTCTGTCCTCCAGGAGCTACATAGATTAGTGACTGACTCTATGTGGTTGCAAACAAGTAGGCCATGCCTTTTTTTTTTTTTTTTTGAAGACCTGGAGCCAATAGTTAAAAATTTAAAAACTTCACTGAAAATCTAGAGTTCTGGCTTTTCTTTAAAAAATCAGAAGATACAGCTACACTGGGTCCATATATATATATATATATTTTTTTTTAAAGATTTTATTTATTTATTTACCTGAGAGAGAGAGAGAGAGAGAGAGAGCACAGGCAGGCAGAGTGGTAGGCAGAGGCAGAGAGAGAAGCAGGCTCCCTGCTGAGCAAGGAGCCCGATGTGGGACTCGATCCCAGGACCCTGGGATCATGACCTGAGCTGAAGGCAGTGACTTAACCGACTGAGCTACCCAGGCATCCCTATATATTTTTTTAAAGATTTACTTATTTGAGAGAGTGTGTGAGTGATTGAGCATGCACAAGTGGGGGTGGGGCAGAGGGAGAGGGAAAGAATCTCAAGTAGACTCCCTGCTGAGCTAGAACCCACACTCCAAGATCATGACCTGATCTGAAATCAAGAGTCACGTGCCCAACTGACTGAGCCACCCTGGGTCCCTATACTCTTGATTAGGCGGCCTTCATATGGCTAATTCATTTTTCTCAGTTGTCACTCTCATAAGTATGTGGACTTACCCCAGTGATTTTACTCCTTTTGGGATCTGTGTGGCTTCTATAGACACCTGGGCTACCATATTTTGCATATTCAAAACCAAACTATTATAAGGTGATGTGTGTTAAGAGATAGGAACAGCATGTCATGCATGCACTGGAGAGGTTTTCTTAATTTCAAGGTAAGAGAAAAGCAAGGGAGAGTCATAGAAAACTTGAGGAGTTCTATTAGAGAAAAGCAGAGAAAATATCACTTATGAAAGTACAAAAGAAAAGAATGTGGCGTGTTCAAAGAATCGTATATAACTCAGTAGGCCAATAATGTGGGATGGAGATACATGAGAGAAGGCTGGTGAGAAGTTGCTCTACTTACATAATAAGTTCCTGTTGCAAATGCTGTAACTCATGAGTCAGTTTGTTCTTATCCCCTCGTAAATTCTGCAATCACATACAACATTAGGCTATATATTGTACTTAGTGGGGGATTTACATTTCAACAGCCCCACCTTGCAAACTTTGAGATTATTATGGTATACCTCTATAATGGTTCCATATTCTATGATAGTTGACTTAAGTTCTTCTATACTTAAATCCTTCTGAAAAGTAGAAGAGAGAAGAGCAAATAAATGAGTCTACCAAATCATATTATGTAGACTATTAATCAGAGCCACAGAAGAAGTATAAATGCCCAAAGATGGTAAGACCTTCTACCAATATTATTATTTGAAAACCAAGCCAGTCTGTGTTTATGATTAAAAACACACAGAAAGTATGGAACAGCAAGGCAGCTGTACCTAACTTGTGCCATTATGCTTGTATTTGTCTGGTTCAATGAAATCAAACTCTGAAGGGTAATTCTTTCTTAAAGATTTTATTTTTTTATTTATTTGACAGAGAGAGGGAGATCACAAGTAGGCAGAGAGGCAGGCAGAGAGAGAGGGGGAAACAGGCTCCCTGCTGAGCAGAGAGCACAATGCGGAACTCGATCCCAGGACCCTGAGATCACGACCTGAGCCAAAGGCAGAGGCTTAACCCACTGAGCCACTCAGGCGCCCCTGAAGGGTAATTCTTAAGTTCAAGTCAAAATTGTATTTATTATCATGACGCATTTAAGGAAAAAATTTAGTCTACTTGCAAATGAATTATTAAGGCATCCATTTTTATCCAGTTCAAGGGATAATCTGTAAAAATCACAGTGTGTAGGTCAATGTCTGACCTATAATTTTATCTCATGACTAGCATGGTACCTGACAAATGGGAAGTGCTCAATCAATACCTTAGAAACTTTGGGCATAAATGCAAAGTGGTGGGAAAACCCGAGTTACGGAGGAGGTGAGCAGCCACCACTACCATAATGTCACTGTATGGAGACAAAGAACACTCATGACAAAGAAAGTCAGTACAACATTCAGTAACCTCGTCCATGTCCACAATTCATATGACTCCTTTGAAACTTCATGACATTCAGAGAAAGGAAAAGAGAAACATGGCTTTTTATTTACTTCCCTGTCTTGGAATGTGGAAGTTTATTAACTTACACTGTGGCCTTCCTATGTCTCTTAAAGCCACCATAACCAGCATCTCTGTAGCCAGAATATTTTGTTATCACATAGACAATGATCACAGAATATAAAGATAAAGGAGAATGTTATCTATCTACCTACCTACCTATCAAATCAATCAAACTAGGTAGAAAATAATTGGGGAACACATTCTTCTTTTTCCCTAAGATAAATGACTGCACTTATTTTTGTGTTATTATGACTTAAAACTACATCACCATACCTAGCCAGTAACTGATAAATTGGCATACTAGTATTTATTACATAAATGGATGAATACCAGCAGAATTTAGAGAGGATATGTTAAAACTTATCCAAGGCAGAGAAGTCAGTATTCTTCACTCAGAAGAACATTTTTGTGAATGTTCTTATATAAAGGAAAGTCTTGCCACAGGATAGTAGGATCAGGTACTTTAATAGGGGTGAAGTTATTCAAATGCATATCTGTTATGATTTAGGGAGAGTTAGCAAATCCCATGGAACTTCATGTGAACGAATGGTACCAACCTTCCGCAAGCTTGCATCTTTATTAAGCAAAGTGTTCTCATATGTATGTAACTGCATCTGAAAAGAGATAAATTTAGGGAAGGCCATTGAGACATTGCTTTGGTGAAATATAATGCCATGAAATTATTCCAATAAGGAGACATGTTTCTCAAGCACCTTTAATGGGCACGCATTTCCTACTTTATGAACAACTTCCTCATCAGCCTCCCAACAACCCGAGAGGCCAAGGTTGTTGCCCTCACTTTACCAGTGAGGAAATCAAAGCTCAGCACTATTAGGAGACTTGCCCAATGTCACACACAGTACGGGTCAGACCTGAGGATAGCATATGAATCTTCAGCTCTAGCCAAGAGCTCGTCCCACAATTCTACCCTTCATATAACAAGAAGACCAATTGAATATTTTTTTTTCCAAAAATGAAAGTGTGATAGGATATGAGCACAGAGTCCATGTGAACATATAAGATGACTCTCCCTCTTGGATAACAAGTACTGCAGAAACCCACAGATTATCTAACAATATAACCTAGACTTGCCAAATCTGATTAGCCAGATTGCAAGAAAAAAAAAATACTCTTCCTCTTTAAAAAGCATAGCTTAAAAATGTTCAAGATGTGTGGTTTTTTTTTTTAGCAAAGTAAATATTAGAATATATCAGTTTATTCAAACCAAAAGCAAGCTTGTTGGCAAAGGCTTCTAAATATTATATATAGGGTGCCTGGATGGCTCAGTAGTTAAGCATCTGCCTTTGGCTTGGGTCATGATCCCAGGGTCCTAGGATCAAGTCGCACATCGGGCTCCCTGCTCAGCGGGGCACCTGCTTTTCCCACTCCTACTCCCCCTGCTTGTGTTACTTCTCTGTCAAATAAGTAAATAAAATCTTTTTAAAATTACATATATGTGTGTGTGTGTGTGTGTGTGTGTGTGTGTGTAGTTGAATTGAAAATCTAGAAAAATAATCCGCATAGTCAGAAGTAGAATCATAAAATCATACATATTTGATACCCCTTTATAGTTCTAAAGGTTTTTTCACATAATCATTTCATTTGAGTTCCTACCAAGTTTTGGGATTAGGTAGAAAATATCACAGCCATTTAGTAGATGAGATAATTGAGACTTTTAGAGAGGTTAACTACTTGTTTGAGGTCATACAGATTTTAAGTAGAGAGGACAGGATTTGAACCCAAGTCTTCTGACTCTTTCTACTACTTGTTCATGGCAGTTGTTTTCCAGAAAGAGTTATTCCTAGAATAAAATTAATTTGAATGTCTAAACTATGAGATATGTAAACATGTCCTAATATATGCATATGTATACACACGCATACACATGGAACTTAGGTATCTGCTAGGAAACTTGAAAACTCCACATACGTAAATGAAATTTAAGGACATCATTTCACACATACACTACAACAAAAAGTATTACTCAAAGAAACTATTAGACAATAAGTATGACAAAAATTCCTAAATTTATTAATATTCTTTAGTTTCCTAATAAGAATGTATGGAATATGTAACAAAAATATACACTAAATATAGACTTTTCAGATGCAATATGGTTAAAAAAATCATTTTTGTAGGCTATCATCCCTTAATTCAATGAAGGGTAGATTTTTTTTCTTCCCCCAAATTCTCATTTTCTGCATTAAGAAGTCATAACAGCTGAATCTTTGCTGATTAAGGGATTTACAAAACCAGATACTCTTATATTAGAAATTGCCACTGTAATAAAAAAAATAAATAGTAACAAGTGTTGGCAAGGATATGGAGGGATCTGAGCCTTCATGCATAGCTGGTGGAAATGTAAAATGGTACCAGAAAAGAGTGTGGAAGCTCCTAAAAAGGCACCTGGAGGCTCAGTCAGTTAAGCATCCGACTCTTGATTTTGGCTCTGGTCATGGTCTAAGGGTTGTGGGGTCAAGTCCTGTGTCAGGCTCTTCATTAAGCATGAAGCCTGCTTAGGATTCTCTGTCCATTTTCCTCTGTCCCTCACCCCACTCACATGTGCACACTCTCTCAAAAAAAAAAAAAAAAAAAAAAAAAAAAGTCAAACATAGAGCTATCATATGACCCTGTAGTTCCACTCCTAAATATATACTTAAAAGAAAATATAGATTGCCACAAAACCATATATACAAATTTCATAGCAGTATTATTCATAACAGTCAAAAAGTAGATACAGCTCTAATGCTCATCAACCGGTGAATTGATAAATAAAATGTGGTGTAGCCATACAATGGCATATTATTCAATAATAAAAGGAAATAAGGTATTGATACATGCTATAACATGAACTTTGAAAAACATTATGCTTAGTGAGAGAAACCAATCACAAAAGACCATATAGTGTATATGATTCCATTTATATGCAATGTCCAGAATAAGGAAATCTGTATTATAGAGACAAAAAGTCTCTGGAGTGGTTGTCTAGGGTTGGTGGGGAATGGGGAATGACTGCTAAAGGGATTCCTTTTGGGATGATAAAAATGTTTTAAAATTGGGGCGCCTGGGTGGCTCAGTGGTTTGGGCCTCTGCCTTTGGCTCGGGTCATGGTCTCAGGGTCCTGGGACCAGGCCCCACATTGGGATCTCTGCTCCACAGGGAGCCTGCTTCCTCTTCTCTCTCTCTGCCTCCCTCTCTGCCTGCTTATGATCTCTGTCTGTCAAATAAATAAAATCTTTTTAAAAAGGTTTTAAAATTGGTTTTGGTAATAGCTGCATATAAAACCACTGACTTACATACTTTATGTGGATCAATTCAATAGCATGTGTATTATATATCAGTAAAGCCATTACATTAAAAAAAAAGTGTTTTACACACTGGAATTCTGACATTTTAGGAACACAAATTTCAACTTTATAATCAAAGGTTATTTTGTCAATGAGTTACATACGCCTTCTTAAGGTAACAATGGTTTGACAAAAGAAGATATTTTACCAGTATTTGGGAACTGCTTACTTGATGCTCTGTCTCAGTTTTAGACAATTCCTCAATCTTCTTTTCCAATTTATATATATCCATAATGTTCTTAGTATTCTAACATAAAAGAAGATAATATTCTTAGATTTAGAAAAAAAAATAAAAGAACAAAGTTTTTTTTTAGGAAGTCGTATTTTCATCATTAACATCACAATCTATTTTAAACTAAGGAACAAAACTTTAGATTTTATCCAAAAGTAACAAGGTCCTTTTATCATGACCATCCAGGAATACCCTTGGGAGTCCCCTCTTATCCTCCGTGGCCCCTTGGCCATGCACACTGCAGTCACATCTTAACCTTCAAACTTGTCACTCCCAACAAGTGTGACCCCTCCATTATTTTAATTGCAAACATCTCATTCTTCAGCCACTTCATCTTTCCAGATTACTTCTTTGAGAGCCAACAAACCTTCAGGCTCCACTGAAGCCTGCTTTGGTCCTACCACCCTCTCATTATCCTTCCCCCTTCCTGTGAACTCAGTCCCCTCTTTCCTACAGCTTAAATTCTTCCATGGTCAATCATTATAATACCTCTCTTCCACTTCCCCCCCATTCCCTGGCTTCCCCCCTGCCTACCTCTTAGTATTTGCTTAAGTTCTGCTTGCCACCCACTCCATGACAGCACCATTCCAGATAAACATTGTTAAAGAAAAATACAAATGAACCAACAGGTCACACATTCAATTCATAATTTTTAACTTCAATGTTGACTGGTGATCATTTCACACAACCCTAGTCCGTTCATGTGGCCACTGAATTGAATTAGGGAATTGCAAATTACACCAACTTCCCCACCCTACTCCACCCCCACATGTCAACTCTAGCTGACCACCTGGTTTGTAAATAAAGTTTTATTAGAACACAACCATGCCTGATTTTTTTCATATTGTCTATGGCTGCTTTCATATGGCAATGGCAGAAGTGAGTGGTTACAACAAAGGCCTTTTAGCCTGGCAAGCCTAAAAATATCTACTATCAGATCCTTTACAGAAAGTTTACCAACTCCCGGCCCATTTCATCCCTCCTCTCTCCTGGAACATTCAATACTCCCTCCAAATTCCTCACTATCAGCTGATGACTTCGCTTTTATCTCATGGAGACCTTAGAAACCATCAGAAGAGTATTTCCATATCACCAGAACATATTGTAAATGCATTTGGATATGTTATAAAGCATTTGCTGATCTAACACTTCTTTCCACCTCCACACTTACTGCCTCAGTCAGCCCCTGGTAAATTTATGCCTGCATATTACAAGAGCTCGTAATTGGTCTCTCACTTCTTCCCTTGCCCCACTACAGTTGATTTTAAATGCGGCAGCCAGAGTTATCTTGTCAAGATAAAAATTAGATCACATTTCTCCTCAGCTCAAAACTGTCCAACGACTCCCATCTCAGTCAGTGGAAACAGCCAGAGTCCGTGCACTCTCTAGATGAGATGCTGTCGGTCTGGTTCCCTGAAGCTCTACTTCTCATGCTTGTCACCTCTGCTCCAGCCACACAAGCCTCACTGTCCCTCAGAAAGAGCAGGAAGGCTAAACCTGAGGGCTTACAGCTTAGTTTCCTCTGCCTGGAACGCTCCTTCACTGATAAACTTCCTTTTGTTCTGATCAAATGATTAACTTCCTAGGGCTACTTTTCCTAACCACTCTAGTTTAAATTGCACTGTCCCACAATTCTGTTTTCTGCTTTTCCTTCCTCTATAGCACTAATCACCACCTAACACGCTAGTTCCTCATGGGCCTTTCTACATAAGCTTATATCCTCAACATCTAGAAGAGCGCCTGGCTCACGGAGGTCTCCCAATTGACTGTGTGTTGAATGAATGAATCAATAAATGAAAGAAACTATCCAAGCTATTGTGCTGTTACTCTTCACGGTGCATCAGATTTTAATCCCCTAAAGGCAGGGCTATTAGTGATATTTATGTGCTTTTTCTAATGCAAGTCAAGAGTTGCAATTCTCTCATGGTGAACGGTTCCACATGTTCCTCCTTCTACCTCAGTTCTGTGTAATTTTTTGACACTAGTCAATCATCTTAAATACAAGGAGAAAAATATCTTACACTGAGAGCTTAACTGCAAGGTACTAGTTTCATGAAAACCTGGTCTTGTTGCTACACCACGTTTAACTCTAATGCAGGGTTTCTTGCCCATCTTTTAATTGTTCCTTTCCAACCCACTGTAAGAGTTCTTTAATGTCTAGTTGCCTCATACACTCCATCACAGACTGTTCATCACAGCTTAATAAATACCCTTGATAAACTTATATAAAGCCCAAATAAAAACTGTACATAAACTTGACATTAAAAAGGTACTTAGAATTTTCCTCCAAAATAGTAGCTTACAAGTAGCTCTGTTACCTGTTACTTCAATGCTAATGCTGTTGCTTAAAAAACTTAAGGCAAACAATTATTTTTTTAGACATTTTACTAATATTTCCTAATGCATATGAAGCACAGTATGATTCACCAAATGGTTTCATATGCATTATCTTAATCTCCAAAGTAACTGTAGGGAATAGGTATTATTAACTCCAAAAAGATAACTGGATTTTCCAAAGTCAGACTTTCAGACCCAGTGACTGGGTCTTAGACTCAAGACTTTTCCCAGCAGTAGAATAATAATGGAAAATTAATAATGTCTACATTTTCCTTCTTGATTTATATTTATACAGGTTAATTTCATTTTATCTTAAATCTGAATTTCTTAAACCCCATTCTTCCATGGATAATTACAAAGGTAATAATGCACTTCTTTTCAGACATGAAAGTCCTATCCACTCTTCTTTACTTATAATTTGAAAAAGCAACGTGGTCTTTGGTTCATAGGAGCCGGAATATTCACATGATTTCTAATTAATCCAGAGTCAGAACTCACATCTGTATGATTTCCATATGTTTATCTGTACCTGTGTTTAACAATTTGAGCATACCTCTTCTTGGAGAATCCGAATCTTAAGAATCAGAGCCCGGTTTTCTGTCTCCTGATTAAGAGGAAGGAATTACAAAGTATTTAGAAGTTTATGAAAATATCACATATCTACCTCGAAGACTACTGACATTCTTTCTCTTTATCAACTTTAAACATGGTATTGACATGACACAAGGGAGCTTAGTCTGGGAATATTCTCAGTATGAAGCTAAGCCTTTGGCTTCTAGTTTCTTGGGATTTCTAAGAATTCACTCTTCTCCTTGACTCAATCTGACAGGGAGGGAAAGACGAAAAACAAAAAAGGAATAGCCTGGCTTCTTTCCCTGCTACTTTCCCACTGTCTGCTTACCATGGGTAGTATGAATTCATCTATTAGGTGGTTTGCCCAAAGTTACTCAGCCATTGCAGTCAGGACCCGGATGCCGGCAGTCTGACTCGCAGGAGTGGCTACTCGCTCATTTCTCAACATTTCCTCCACAGGCAAATTCCTCTGTGGTCCCAAATTGAGTCTTCCCTGTACTGCATTCAGAGACATGCAGTCATCTGACACTTGAGGAGTCTAGTCCCCTCTAGTCTAGCATGCGTAGCACATTGTGCTAATGAGGCAAGAGCTAAACTAATCTGTGTTGGTTGTGGGAATGCCTTAGGCCTGGAGTCCCAGCCTCTTGGTACTTACAGATCTAAGAAAGAACTAGTCTGAATGACCGTCATCTGACCCCACCATTGTTAGCAATGCTAGAATACTGCTGGAATATATCAGGATTTGGAAGATTATTACTAAGGCTCGAGATAAGAGTTTAACATTCTCAATTAAAAAACTACTTTTTTGGCAGTAAAGCTTAGTCTAAATAATGTTTTGCTCTAAAAATTTCAAGCCTGTGTTTATTTAGTGTAAGGACTGATTTATGGAGCTCCTTAATAATCTAAGTACTAAGATAATGGATTTTTTTTTTTTAAAACCCAAGAACAACGTGAAAATGTGGTGGAGAACTTTGTTTTGTTTTGTTTTGTTTTAAGAAAATTCAAGTAGCTTTTGGTATCAGGTATTTATGAATTCACCTCTCAGCTCCAGGAAGCATTCCAGAGATCTTCTAGATCTTTATAAAGAATTTTAATCTTGGCTGAAAAGAAAAACAGTTTATCCTATTTGCCTTTGCTCTTCTAAGATATTTCCAATTCATTCATCAGCCCACTGACTTCTGATTTTTGCCTCCAAATAAACCCTCTTGGATTTCAGTTATGTAACCTATGTGCCAAATTCAAAGTACTTGAATGACTTACTAATTGTTTGTTCTGGGCTACAATCACGGTCTTCTGCTCTTCAGAAGCATTCATACCAATTTTCAGTTCCTCCAGCTCTTCTTCTAACAGATTTGTTCTCATAATAGCTTGGTGGGCACTGTGGCGGGAGGCGGGGGGCGGGGGGAGGCAATGAGCAAAACCTCAAATATAACCGTCAAAGATACAAAGTAAAGCCAAGGACTATTTTCAGACCCAAGCTGAAAACCACTAAAGGCTTAAACAGATGCCAACAATAGTAAAAATATACCCGTGATCTTTCATGGTCCTTAGAAAAGGAAGAGATTTGGGGGAAGTGTGGTAGGGGGAAGAGAGATAGAAGGAAACAAACATATTCTTGAGGATAAAGATTTGGAGTCTCCCTCTGAAATTCATCATTGGCTTTCATCACATGGTTCTCTCCTCCCATTAAGATATACTATTTGGTTAATGTAATTCTATAAATATTATGTAATATTTTTTACATAATGTAATGTAATTACATTATTAATTACATTAGTAATTAATGTAACGTAATTCTACAAATATTAAATAATACCATGTTCCAGGTGCTGGATGCCACAAAGAAGCCTATGTTGGTAGCAAGAGACATAGTCCTTGCCCTTGTAGCAGTTAAATATTAGTGAAGGAGATGACCACTAAACAAACAAATCATTATAAACAGTGTCTGTGTATTTTACTTTAGAAGTTTATTATAGCATTGTTTACAATCCCAAACAACCTAAATGTCCCACAGCAAAAAACTCTATTAAATGAATTATGGTAATCCATATCATTGAATTGCCTATTAGTATTCCCACTGGATTATAAACTGTTTTCCGAGCAGGAACTCAAAGAAAGTACCATTTTTTTCCTCACTCAGGAATTACATTGATCATTCAACAAATGTTCGTGGAGCTCCACCTTTGTACCAGGCATTATGTTAGGCCCTGAAGAAGACAAAAGTGTGTCCAATCATGAGAACTCTAACTTCCTGGAATTTATAGACTAAAAGGGTAAGCACACAATCATAATTATAATACAGTGTGATAAGAACCAAGACTAGAGTGAACCCAAGTTCTGTAGATACTGTGTAAAAGGCAGGCGGCTCAGATAATGGGAAGGGGAGGAGGAGTGGGGAGAAAGAACAAACAGAAGCCCACTGGGGGGCTGCAAGCAGTTAGATATTGTGGGAGCCTAGAGTGGAAAATAGGAGTAGAGGTAAGCAACAGAGACCCCATCAGGAAGGACTCTGCAAACTGAATTTCATCTTGAAGGTGATAGGGGGTCAATGGAAGTGTTTGAAGCAGGGGCATGATGTGGTCAGACTGGATTTAGGAAGAGCACTCCTGCCCCTGGGACACGAGTTTTGGAAAGGCAGGGAGACGAATCAGGAGGCTGTTGAGGGATCCAGGTGAAAGAGGATGTGTAGTTGAACTAAATTATAGATTCATCTAAGACACAGATATTTTTTAAAAATATTTTAAATATTTTGAATATTTCAAATAAATAATAAATAAGCCTATTGTGGAATGGAGAAAGCTTAAGGTAAGCAGTTCTTTTTACTTATTTTAAGATAAGCTTGGAGGCTGGACTGGCTGGCCAAAAATGACGAGGGAAAGAATCCTTGGTCAGAATGCTCTACTGTCTTTCCAGGTTAACTTAGAACTTTTCTGTTCAAAATTTTAGCACCTACATCAGTAACTGCAGGCTTTGTGAGAAACTTGTTGCTTTTTACCTGAAGCTCAGGCATCTCCTCACAATTCATTTTATCAGTACTTGATACTATATGTCACCCAGGTCCTTTGTCCTTTTTTATCTTAAGCTAAAGTCCTAACTTTTCTTATCATCTGACATCCTTATCATGTACCCTAAAAGCATATTTTAAACCCGACTTGTCAATGAATCTCTCATAACATAGTTGTCCTTTAAACAACATGGCATTAGGTGCACCAGCCCGCCCAAAATATCTATGTGTAATTTTTGATTCTCCAAAAACTAAACTACTGATAGCTTATTGTTGACCAGAAGCCTTACCAATAACACAAATAGTTGATTAACACATATTTCCTATGTTATGTGTATTATATACTGTATCCTTGCAATAAAGCTAGAGAAAATAAAATGTCATTAAGAAAGTCATAAGGAGGGGCACCTGGGTGGCTCAGTGGGTTAAGGCCTCTGCCTTCGGCTCAGGTCATGATCTCAGGGTCTTGGGATCGAGCCCCATATCGGGCTCTCTGCTCAGCGGGGAGCCTGCTTCCTCCTCTCTCTCTGCCTGCCTCTCTGCCTACTTGTGATCT